CTGCTGGTAGAGTGCAAGGCCAGGAAAAATGTGCTGAGCACATGGGAGATTTGAGGATGATTGACTCCCTGTGACTTTAAAATCTACGTGGCATCTAATTTTAGATTCATTCTTCTTTTATAGTTTAAAAGATAAAGAATGGTTTAACTTCAAAATTTAAGGCAAGCCCATCACAGACTAAAAATCTATGGAAAAGAAAAGGAATTCTAGAATTCAAGGCCCTGGTCATTACTCTGCTTCCCTTTCTCCCACATATGGACATACTGGTCTATTGTCTTGTCCAGGTCAGTCAGCTTTCGGCTTGGCATTAGGGACTTTAAGTGATTAAAATGATTTGGGAGTCAGGAGCGGTGGCTTGGGAGGCTGAGGCAGGAGGATCATGAGTTCAAAGCCAGCCTCAGCAAAAAGTGAGGCACTAAGCAACTCAGTGAGACCCTGTCTCTAAATAAATAAAATACAAAATCAGGCTGCAGATATGGCTCAGTGGTCGAGTTCAATACCTGGTACCTCCTCCCCCAAAGAAAAGAACAGTTTGGGGCTCCATATCCCTCAGTTCAGAACAGTTGGGGAGGGCCTGAAAAAGCCATTTTAGTTGACTTCAGATCAATGGTTTAATTGAAAAAAATCTGAACCTCCCATGTAGCCTGAAATGGAGTCCTCTATAGTTTTCTGCTCTCCCATTCTGACCTTGGCAATGAAGGAAAAGGAGACATGTCCTTCTGGTAAAGCCCTTGGGGCAGATTGCCAGAGTCAAAAAACCAAAATACAGGATGTCCGGTGACATTTGGATTTCAGATAAGCAACAAATCATGCTTCAGTGTGTGTCCCATGAGATATTTGGGATATCTGAGATATTTTGGATATGCATCTATTTTTTAAAGTATCTGTTATTTAATTGAAGTTCAAATTTAACTGAGTTTCCTGTATCGGCCACCCCATCTTGAGGGTCCATTTTGATAGTCCAGTCTTTGTCCTGGGAGTGGAGGGACATAAAGACGGCTTGCACTCTTCCTAACCTGTTTTTCCCTAAGAGTGGTAGTGTTTTGTCCTTCGTCCTTCTCATTCCAGGCCTTTTGCCTCTCTCCTGGTCCAGGCATGTGGGTCATAGGCAGTAGATGGGCATGACCTCAAGTAACCTTAAGTAACCCCTCTGCCTGGGCTGCTACTGAAATGCTGCTCAGCAGCCACAGTTCTTGGAACCAGCAGGGCACTTACCAAAGCTTACTGCCAGAAAAAAAAAAAAAATACTCAGGTCATAAGACAAACCAGGGCAGGAATGTTTTATAGCTGTTGGGAGCATTTGATTCTTAGATAAAGGACCTAGGAGACCCAGAACACTCCCCTAAATGTAGAACACAGCTCCTGCGTCAGCTTATTTATTTTGGTATTACCTAATACCACTTTTATACTAATAATACTTTGCACTCGTGTTGGGCTTTTCATCCAAGGATCTCAAGGTAATTTATGAACATGAAGCAGCAGCACAGCTTATAAATCCCTGGATTATGTAATCATGCACATAGATTTTTTTTTTTTTGAGGTTAAAAAGCTTGGCTTTTCCTGGAAGAGCCCTGAACAGAAGTTAGAAATAGTTAAGCACAAACTTGACCTGGGTGAAACACATTTGGGTACAGGCTCCTCTGTTAGACTGTTCACCTCTCAGGAACAATAAATGCTGTCTTCCTTTTTTTAAAAAATCCCAGCATTTAGTACAATGGCTGAAACACAGCAGTGCTCAGACAATGCTTGCTTAAATGAATGAATGAGTGATGAAAAATTGATGCATCAAGAAGAACTCTAGGTTCCTTCATTGGCTTTAGTTTCTCATGGGGGATAATGGTAGGGGGGTGTTGCAGATGCTGTCAGTCCTGTGTCCACATGTCTCCGAGCTTTTCACCCTTTCTGGCCACATCAAGAAGCACTCCGTACCTCATTCTTGACTGGGCCTGCATCTGTCTGACCAGAGGCTCCTGGATTTGCTTGGCCTGCAGGTATCCTAAGCTTCCCCACTGCAGCAGGGATATAAATTCTCCAATTCCCTTCTCCCCAGTGGGGATATTTGAATGTGACCTATCCTGGGTCTCTTGAGGGATTGTGTTAACAACGCTCTCCAGGGAACTTGTCTGACATCAGAAAACTTGTTTGTTCTCCTTCCCTTCCCAGTTCTTTTTTTTTTTTTTTTTCCACTCTGCTTTGGATTTTCCTGAGAACACCTCCTAGTGAGTCACTTTCACTAGAATCTTCTTTCTCAGGGGCTGCTTCTAGGGAGGCCATCTTGAAATGGGGGCCTTTGGAGTTCTTGACTATGGCTCATTTCCCCAATCATGTCGACTCTTTGTCCTCTATCAGGAGGAACCTTAAAAAAAAAAAAAAAAAAAAAAAAAAACACCACCAATTTTACTGAGAAGCAATAGACGATGAGAAGCAATCAGGACTTTTTATCTACTGGGGCAAGAATATAGAATTTCAACTTGGAATTGTCTTGATCACAGCCATGGGTTACGACTGTCATGTAAGCTTCAAATTCTTCTGTACCTCAGTGAGTGGTGCTTCTTTCAGGCTCCCCACCTGTGGGCTATTTTCAAAAAACACACGGGCATGATCCAGGCACCATGATGTATGTGGTGGAAAGATGGAGGCAGGGCCCCTGAGTGGGAGGTGAGGCAGGACTAGATCAATGGTGTTTCTTTGCCTCCTCTTGTTCAGACGCGGTGGAGGACTGGAATCAAAATGGTGGCAGCCAAACACTGGGTCAGAGGAAGACTTTCAAGAGTCATTTTTGCCATCTCCAGGGCTTTCTGGTTCCAAGACTTCCTACTTGTAGAGATCAGAGTTCAGGAATTAGGAGGGATTATTCTCTCTCCACCCCAGGGTTTCAGACAGACAAGATGGAATGGCATTTAATAACTTCTCTGACTGTCCTCTAAGGACAAAGGCAGGGTTAGGTGTCTGTGGACTCCCTGAGATTTTGTTTGTAATACTTTCAGGGGCTAGGGTGATAGGGCCATAACCTACTTTGGAGGAAAACATTTATTATTAACGCCGGTTTAACACTTAACTTTCTAGGGTATTTGCGGATGACACCGTCATACATCTGCCTTTTTATAGTGCTTTGCAGCAGAGCACAAGACCTTCTGGCTGACACCTCATAGATCACCAAAATTAAGACCTCTAGGCGAGCGGAAGAAAGTAGGGCGGGGGTGGGGTGGGGACAGCAACTGAGAATGAGTCAAAGGGCTGCCAAGTTCAGTTTCCTTTAGCAAGAGGCCATTTTCATTACAGAGCAAATTATTCTTAACATTAAGATGGCCCTGTTTCCATGGTAACCCACAACAACTTGAAAAGAATGTCCTCTGTGGCCACACAGCAGAGTGATGCTGCCCATCTCATTGGTGGTTGGTGAAGATTAACTTAGAGCTGGGATCAGCCAGCCCAGGGGTCAACTTCCAATTGCTTGGCATTCAACACCCGGGCCCTCCACTGTCAAAGCCAGGAGAAATAAGAAATCGGCAAACCTGGATTGATGGAGGTTTTCTATCTGCAACATAAACTGTATCATCACAGTGTAAGAAATTTTTGCTGGAGATTTAAAAATTAGTTTAACAGAAAATTATAATCAAAAGAAGAAGAATGTCTATTTTTTTTTCCTGAATTTCCATTCACAGGCTGATAGTGGGGTCTCATTTGCCTGTTTAAAAAAAATTAATTAATTAAAAAAAAAGACAGAGACCATAGTCTTTTGGTTGTGTATACTCTTATTTTTTCTTTCTTTTTTTTTTTTTTTTAACCTGGGATGGAATTTAGGGGCACTCAACCACTGAGTCACATCCCCAGCCCTATTTTGTATTTTATTTAGGGTATCACAGAATTGCTTACTGCCTCTCTTGCTGAGGCTGGCTTTGAACTCATGATTCTCCTGTCTCAGCCTCCCAAGCTGCTGGGATCATAGGTGTGCGCCACTCGGCCCAGCCTTATAGACTCTTATATACATGAGTCCCCTTCTCTCACTCAAGGTGACCAAATGTGACACTGGGAAGGGCATTATTTTCCACTCCTCTTTAGCAGATCATGCCTATCCAACTTGACCTGGGCCACACACACAAAAAAAATGATCTCAACTTTTATGTTAAGAGGGACCAACAATTTTTTCTTGTCCCTAAGCCCTGGGACCAGGAATAATTTTGAGGAGAAAAAAAAAAAAAGGAAAATTCTGGGACAGAAGAATAAAGACCCCAAAATAGCCACTTGGGAAATTCTGGTTGAGATAATCTTTGCTCTGCTCTTTGCTCTGGGCTGTCCAAAGTCAAGTGGGTGTCACATGAAATATAAAACCAATCGGTCATCGGGCATCTTTTTCTTTGTCTTGTTTAGTCAATGGTGTGACATTAACAAGATAAGGCATTGGCATTATGTATCAAATTCATGCCTGTTGGTTTCCAAACAAGGCATCCAGATGGAAATAGAGCAATACAACCCAGAAGAGGAAGCCAGAGAAGGACAGGCGCTCTGTCCTCTTCTGCTGCCAGGCAATAAGACACTGTTCAAAGCAAGATGGAAAGATGCAGAGGAAGTCTTCCATGTTCTGGGAAAATGAAAGACAAAGAGGAAGAGAAGCTGCAGTGGCTACTCTCAGAATGAATAAAAAACTGGTTAAGCCATCACCTTCCTTCACAGAGGTCCTTTCTTCAAGCCCAGGCAGTCAGTCTAGAGTCCTACATCCTGAAATAGATTATACATTTTATATTCTAAAAAGTCCTAAATGATGAGGCTGGGGCTCTGTGGCAGAGTACTTGCCTTGCATGTGTGAGGCACTGGGTTCGATCCTCAGCACCACTAAAATAAACAAATAAAATAAAGGCATGCTACAACTACAAAAAAAAAATCCTAAATGACGCATCCTTTACATTTTCTGGTTGTTTTTTTTTTGTCTGTGTGCACAGGAATATTTATAAGAGAAATTAAAACCCTTCAAACTGTTGTTTTAATGTATCCTGGAACAGTAGCCATTACAGCAGGTGAGCCTGGGACTTCTGCCCATGACCTTCATGATGATCCGTGAAGACACGGCTCCCATCTGACACTGCCCTTGTTTGGATGGCTAATCAGAAAGCATGCACTACTTCTAAAAGGTAATTGGCTCTGATGGCTATAAAGATGACCAAATTGGACTTGATCAGTGACTGACAATTAACCCCTCAGGACAGACAGAAAGCCACTGGGTACTTTGATGATCCATCCCTTTTCTGAGACCTTGTGTCAAGGGCTATCTGCCCTTGCATTTCCCTTCTTGTGCCCTCCCCAAGTCCCTTCCCTTAAACAAGCCCCCTCCCCTCCCCAAATACCAGCACAGAGCTATCGCTCCTCTCCCTCCTGGCTGTGCTTCCTTGTGGTTGATGTGGGCAGTGTCCTGGGTGGTGCCCAGGATGGAAAGGGCAGCCTTTGACCTGGTGAACTTGACAGACAACACCTCTCCAGGCCATGGGTGCTCAATGTTCTGGAGTCACACTGGGAGAGAGGGATGGGATGTGGGGCTGGGGAAGGGACACTTGGTTCCTAAGAATGAGGGCTGGAGGCAGAGCTGGATTGTGTGGAGGTGCGTGTGTAGGCGTGTGTGTGTGTGTGTGTGTGTGTGTGTGTGTGTGCATGTTTTTTACTAAAGGACAAGAAAGACTGAGCCAGGGCTTAGTTGGGTGAGTCCCGAAGTAAAACCCCCACGTTCTCAAGACTAACAGCATGCAGAAGGGGCTTCCTTTGGACCCACCAACTTCCTTCCCCAACTCAGCCAACTCTAGATCTCCCTGTGTGAGATCCACCCCTCATTATTGCCCTTAAAATGCCTGTAAGCCTCTTGACCTGGACTTAAGCAAAGTTTAATATTTTGAGAAGTAGAATTATGGATTCCCACTTGAACAGAAATATCCTGAACTCTGACATGTAAACGTGACTACAGGCACGGCAAGAGGGGAAAGGAAATGTGTGACCTCCCTCAACGCTTTTCTTGACTTAGCCTGAGAAGCAGTTTGCATAGAAGTTAGGGCCAAGGCTCTGGGCCAGATGGTTCCAGTCTGTCTCTCAGGTCCACCAGTGGCATGTTCTATGACTTTTAACCTCCTAGGGCTTAAAGTTTCGTATCTGAAAGTTGGGGTAGGAACTTAACCTGCTATATTTGGTTGTCAGGAGATTCAGTGACTGATAAAAATATAAAAAGTGTCCCTCTGTGCCTGGCTTTTGTAAACACCCTCTGAGTATATCAGCTCTCCTATTCCACCACCCTGACTGGTAGGACCAGCTTCAGGAGCATGAGACCTTTACGGTGGCCTCATTCTTGATGAGATGCTTTGCTGTCACCATTTGGGAACTCTTAATAGAAATTTTATATTTGAACTTGTGTTTTATCAGCCACTGAGACAACAGCCCAGAGGGATCCCTTCCCATGCAACCAGAACTCGCCTCAAAAGCAGCAGACAACTGTGTCCTAAGACCGCTGAGGAGCCCTAGCACCTTCTCACTCATGTGACTTCCCTGGGCTAGCAGCCACACACTGGACATGGTGAACATGGAGGGAAAAGAAACAAATAGGGCAACTATCGTTTTTTTTTTTTTCCTTTCATTCCTTCCATCCTCAGCAGTGAGATGGGGGCAGAGTGTTGGTAGGAAGTGCCTACGTTAGGAGGGGAAAGAAGAATGGTTGGTTTTATGGAACATTTCCATTGTTCCAGCAGGGAATGAAGTCTATATGTGTGCATGAGCTCTGAAATACAAACTGTGCCATTTTGATGATTCCAAAATATAAGTAGTCTTACATGTGCATTTAAAACTGGCATTGCATACGATAGAGATCGGTGCTAGAATTCATGCTGATAATTTAGATTATGTATTTATTACTATGCTAATATTTAGGACAGCATGCCCTAGGAAATAAAAAGCGTTACAAGTCATCAAAATGGCACAGAAGAAAGCCAATTAGTACCTTTTTCACATTTGAGTACGTTTTTCCTGCTTTTTTTGAACAAAGGGTTTCATATTTTCATTTTTGCACTGGCCTTATAAATCATCTAGCTGGGGGTATTTTAAAAAGGGGAGTTGGGGAGGCAGAAGGAGAACTGTTGAGGTATTTTTCAGCTAGGGTCTGACTTCCCTGGGGTGTGTTGTTCCCACAAGGATCCCTTTAAGGCCCCTTGGTAACCTGCAAATAGCTTTGTGATTAGCTGAGAAAACGACATGCACATCCACCAGCATCCGAAGCTCACAGGCCAGGGTTTGCTAGATTTCAGGCCTGACAGAAAATTCCACTTCAGAGGAAAGGGAGACTGATGCTGAAAACCCACATTATGCAGCTGGTCATGGCCAGCCAGAACTCAGGCCTGAGACCAGGCTGGTGCCTTGTTTTGAACTGCAAGAATAGAGCAGTGTTGTCGTTTTTCTTCCAGGGATCAAAATCAGACAAATCTCCTATTTGGCTTTCCAGGCAATAAGTGGATAACGCCAGTGAATGTCAGTGCAAATTACAGCTCTAGCCTCCTGTCGTCAGCTCTGTGCTGCTGCTTGTCACTTTAATGCAAAGAGACAGCACCGGGCTGATAACAAGCCAGAAGGGTGGGGGATGGATGTCAGGGACAGGGAAAACCAGTGTCTGAGAGACTGATTCAAGGCATAAAAACCCACAGTGATGCTTTTTCTTGATTGCCTGTGTAAGGGCATTGGATGTCTGGACAGAGCCTCCTGGATATCCACAAAACTGAGCACAGGACTCATCAGTCATTTGCCCACCCACCCATCATCCATCCATCCATCCATCCATCCATCCATCCATCCATCCATCCATCCATCCTCATCTGTAAATAAGCAATGGATGAACATCTTGGTACACGGGAATCCCAAGGGATTCATGGGTCTTCCATATCCTTGCCACAGGTACTTTCTCGGCATTGCTTGTAAGCAGAAGTTTGAAGAACTCTTGGGAGGAAACATCTCTCTTTCTAAGCAAAGCACAAGGGCCTCGGGGGGCTTTTAATTTTGTCAAAAAAGAGCCCCATGACTGCTCAAAAACTCTTGATTCTGTTCTATGCAATTGCATTTTCTAAATCAGTGGGTGAAAGTTACTGTCTCAGAGGCCCTCAACTGAGAGATAAGATCTCCCAGGCAGCCAGTTGAAGAAAGAGGGATTCTCACATTTTGTCTGCCAGAATTTGAGTATGTCCATCTGTCTTGGAGGGAACCTGCAAGGTCAGCTCACAAAAATATGCAGCCTCTGCTTGCTTTATCTTCCACCCACCTACACATTTGAGGAACTGATACAATCAAGATAATGAAGGTCCGGGGATTTAGGTTAGTTGGTCAAGTGCTTGCCTTGCATGAACAAGGCCATGGGTTTGATCCCCAGCACCACACACACACACACACACACACACACACACACACACACACACAAAGACAATGAGAATCCCATTGTCTTTGCTGACAAATGGTTCTGAGAATTGGAAAAGAGATCAAGAGGGACACACCTGTAGATCTTCTTAGGCTCTCTCAATGACATCGCATCTCGGTAATGGCTGATGAGGCCCCATATGCCCTCCACTTAGGAACTTGGGCACAACACCATTTTCATGGGACATGGGATCTAGATTCCAAGCAGTCACCAGGGGCTGGATACAGCAAGGGAGGTAACCCCCCATGATGGGAACTTGACCTGGGATATAGGAGAGTGGTGGGAGGAGATAAACTCCCCAACTTCTTTTCTCCTGTGGATGACTCTGGAGCATTAATCCTCCCTGCAGCTTTTTGGCCTCACTTTATTTTCCCACATTTCCCTGCCCTGCACCTTCTAAACAAATGATTAGGACTCCAATCTTTGCTCAGGTCCTGTTTGTTTGTTTTTTTTTTCTCATAATTGAGTTCGTGTTTCCTTGAACACCCTTGAATATGTTTATTTGTAAGATTTATAATAGATCAAAGCAGTAAATAATATTTGTGCAGCACCTACGAAGTACTCCCTAAATACTTGCAAATACATACAAACTAGTTATGAAACTTGGAAAACTTATTCAGAAGAACAAGAAGCAGACCCCAAAGACATCAAGGAAGCCAGGGAGAGAGTGGGAGTGAAATAGTTGACACTGAGAAATGGCTGGCGAGGGCAAGAAGGCAATGAGGACAGCAGACAGTGTCATCAGGCCTCCTGGGGACAAATGAGGAAAAGAGGGGCTTCGATGTTTCTTGAGATGTTTGGTCTAGATCCCAGGCTCCCAGCTTGATCCCCAACTCAGGAAAGATTTCCACTTTGGGGATTTAGCTTATACAGTGTTTTCTATGTTTACAGTGGAAGTAATTGAAGAGTGAGGGTGAAAGAAATTTTTTTGTGCCGGTGTGTGAGTTATTTATTGCTGCACAATAAATTATTCCATAACTTGGTTTAAACAATAACAATCAATTATAGCATCTGTAGGTCAGGAATTCAGGAGCACTTTTCCTGAGTAGTCAGGCTCAGGTTTCTGATGAGGTTAAGGTCAAGTGTCAGCTAGGGCTGCTGTCAACTGAAGGCTTGACTGAATCCAGCTCCAGACGGTTCCCCCACAGGACTATTGGCAGGACCTTACTAGCTGTCTTTGAGAGCCTCTGCTTAGGGCAGCTGGAGTGTTGTTCTCAGGTCATGGCAGCTGGCATCCCCTTGAGCAAGCAATTCAAGAGACCAACACAGAAGCCACAGTGCCTTTGTGACTTACTTTATCTCTCTACTCCATTCTAGTAGTCACCCAGAAATCCCGGATTCAATGCAGGAAGAGCCGACCCAAGGGTATGGCGACCAGGAAGTCAGAATCTTGTAGGAAGAGGAACATTATTGGAGACTGGACCACAACCTGCTGGGAGAATGCTTAGAGAGATCTGTTTAGCATCCTTAGGTAGGAGCTGAGAAACCAAAGACCAGAGTTTAAGGTTCTCACTTAATGATTCAGGATTTAACAGTGCCTGCAGGAACCACATCTCACCAAGTCATTTAAGAAATGGGACCCATGGTCAACCAGCATCTCCATGCAGATGAAGAAGGAAGTCAGGCGTAATGCTTTAAACAAGAGCCATGGAAAGAATCGTTGCAAGGCAGATTATAGGAGTTCATTCAGTCATTTATTCAAAACATGAGTTGAGTTTACTTCATACCTGGCACTGTGCTAGACACAAAGGCAGGCAGAGGTAAGCAAAAACACACTCCTGCTCTTGGTACTGGGGAACACAGACACTAGTGGAATGGTCCCGCTCACAATGGAAATACTACAACTGTGACAAGGGCTTTGAAGGGGAGGTTGAAGCACCGTGACAGCACAGAGTATTGTTTATTTCGGCCATCAACGCTCCTCCAAGGAAGTGGTGATTCAATTATTACCTGAAAGCCCAAAAGTGTGTTCCGGTATCAAGGAGATAATGATTTCTGTTCATGATGTGTTTTTTCAGATATTGTATTTTCCACCTCCAGAAGTTCCATTTGAGTTTTCTTTTATATCTTTTATTTCTCTCATAATTGAGTTCATGTTTCCTTGAACATCCTTGAATATGTTTATTTGTAAGATTTATAATAGCTATTTTAATGTTCCCCCGTCTGCTAGCTTCATCATCTCTGCCATTTCTGGGCCTTTTCCTATTTTTCCCCCCTACCTATGAGTCATATGTTCATGCTGTTTTGCATGCCTGGTAATTTTCTATTGAAAGCCACATAATGGGAATTTTATAGTGTCAGGTGTTGGATTTTGTTTTATTCCTTTAAAGAGTGTGGAGATTTGTTCTGGCACATAGTTACTTGGGAACAGTTTGATTTTTCGGGGCTTGCTTTTAAACTTTGTTATGGCAAGTCCCCAAAACTTTTAGTGTGGACTAATTTAGCCCTAATATTAAGACACTGCCCTTCTGAAGATGCTACCAATACACAATTGTCAGGTCTTTCCATTTCAACTGGTGAGAATACTAATTATTCCTGATCCTGAAAGGTCTCTAGGAATTGCTCTGTCTGCTTCTTTCCAGGTGGTTCTCTTGCCTGCCTTGAGGAATTTCTTCAACTTATGCACTGATTAGAGTTCAAAGATTTGAGATTTTTACCTGGTAGTCCCAGGAGTTGTCTTTCTGCATATGGAACTCCCTCCTCTCTGATACTCTGCCCTGAAAACCTCCCAGAACTTTGAACTTTATCTCCTCAGCTCTGCAAGACCTTTGAGCTCCACTGGGGCACTCTGTAGGCCATGAGTGGGTGCCATTATAAGGCTTGCTCACTTTCCCTTTTGTCAGGGATCACAGCCTTGCATTGACTGCTAATGTTGAAAATCACTATTTCATATGCTTGTCTGGTTTTCTGTCTGTTGGAGGTGGGTATAAATCTAATCCCCAATACTGCATCATTGTATATTTTTTTATTTCTTTTCAAAAATATTTAAATAGCTTAATTAAGGCATGATTAATAAACTGCATGCATGTGTAAAGTGTTCAAATGATGAGGTTTTTGTTAATATTTATTGTTTAGTTTTAGGTGAACACAATATTTTTATTTTACATTTACATAGTGCAGAGGATCAAACCCAGTGCCTCATACAGGCTAGGTGAGCACAATACCACTGAGCCACATCCCTAGCCCCAAATGATGAGTTTTAACACATGTATACATTCATGAAACCATCAAATTCAAGAAAGTGAACATATCCATCACCCCTGAAAATATCTTTAGGCCCCTTTGAAATTTCTCCCCCTGGCTTTCTGGACCCTCCTCTCAAGGCAACCACCAATTTGCTTTTAGTCACAAGAAATTAAATTTCTAAAGTTTTACATAAATAAAATCATATAATATGGTTCCTTTTTTAATCTGGATTTTTTACGTAGCATAATTGTTTTAATATATTCGTGTTGTTTGTATCAGTCGTTTCTCCTTTTCTTACTGATGAGTAGCATTCCATTGTATATAAACCCACCCCAATTTGTCCATTTTGTTTACATTTTACCATATTTATTTATTTATTACTAACAGATATATGGATTGTTTCTACCTTTGGGTTATTACAAATAAAGTGATTCTGAGCATTCATGTAAAAGCTTTTGTATGGACATATATTTTCTTTTTTCTTGGGTAAATACCTAGGAATGGAATGACTGGACCATATGGTAGGTATGTAAGTGTAACTTTTAAGGATCCTGTCAAACTTTTCAATGGCTTTGGTTTTAAAGCCAGTTTTTATTTGTTTGTTTGGGGCTCCATGTTACAGTAGGGTAAATCTGTGAGACATTTGGATGTAAATGTTCAACTTCTTTTATTCTGAAGCAGTAAGCATGCTGTGGCAACTGTCACTTTGACAGGCACAGTGCTAGCCCCCACCAGCATGGAAAGTGGACTTTGACCATAAGATGGACAGTAGAGAGAGAAAAGTCAGGACCTTGGACTTTTTGCTTTGAGGCATTTAACGGAAATAAATAAACTATCTTTTGGGATAGTTCAACAGTTTCTTGTGATTTTTTGGAAATATGAAATGTTAGAGAACTTAGGTTGGAGCTGGGTTTTTTTAACTTTTTTTTTAAGTTTTGATCTATTTCCTTGATGTTTTAACTTTGAAACTCCTGTCTGAATAAATTCGGCTTTTGTTTCACTTTTTCCTGCTGAACAATGCCAATATGTTAGAAGGAAATGTCCCATAGGGATAAGTGGCCTTTCTTTGATCCACAGGCAAATCAAAAATCAAGCTCTGTTGAGCCCATAGAGGAGTGGGATTCATAAATGCCCATGTGGCTCTGAACCACACACTGTATTTAATAGAATGGGCAGTGGTAGTACAGTCTAGCAACCTCCTCCTTCCTTCCAAGATGCCCTAGCAGAGATGGATTCTCTTTTTATTTGTTTGTTTTTTTGAGTACAAGGGATTGAACTCGGGAGCTCCTTACCACTGAGTTACATCCCCAGTTCATTTTATTTTTTATTCTGAGACAGGGTCTCACTAAGTTGCTTAGGACTTCACTAAGTTGCTGAGGCTAGATTTGAACTGGAGATCCTCCTGCCTCAGCCTCCCGAGTCACTGGGATTCCAGGCATGTGTGCCACCATGCCCACCATGATGGATTCTCTTAAAGGAATACACACCAGGCAGTATTTTATACTTTGATACTATCTTCCACCATTTGAGAGTTTTGGCACTTGGCATGTCATTACTTAAGTGCAGAAACCCTTGAAAGCCACATATTGCTTGGGGCAGGGGTGCTGGCTAGATGTAGTGTGGAGGAGGGTACTGATTTCTTGTTTGTCATCCTAACAATTCAGGATAATCAGAGGTCAGACAGGCTTAAGGATGCCTCTCTTACCTGATGTGAGCTGGGGCTTCATGCTGTGCTGTCTCAGAGGCCTCAGAGGAGACAACAGCTTCTCTGGAGATGACCCTTATCCATCCCTCAGAAATGGCCCCATCCTAAGTCTCTGTGGCCGCCTTAGCTCCCAGTGCAGCTGGAGGAAGTCTGTGACAGAACATTCATGTTCCTATTCATAAGCCACCAGCCACGTAGACCATCCCTGATCTCAGCAGTCCCTTTTCTCAGTTTGGCCTTCTGGAAATTAGCTGTGTGATTTCACCTATGACCAGAACAGGCTCCTGCTCATTGTTCTTAGTTTCCTATTGCTGGTTTTAGGGTTTTTTTCTCAATAGCTTTTTTTTTGGGGGGGGGGACATTTCCTAAAGACCTTTTATTTGTTTAAAGTACTTTGCAGTCATGGGTTTGAGCAGATACAACCTTATTTGTAATAACATAGAGGTCCCATCTGCCCTTTTCTGGAAGCATATGAAGCTACTAAACACGTGGTGTACTAAGAAACCAGACTCCAAAACCAGAGCTGCTGAACTCAACTGTGCCACCAGCTTGATTCCATGAGCCACTTAAGCTTTCCATCAAGGCTGGACTCCCAGATGAGAAAAGATGAACCCGCCTTTGAAGAGTTACAGCAAGTGACTTAAAAGCCAAAGGCCCCTTGGGAGGCAGCCATGCTTCCTTCATCACCCCCTCCAGGGCAGGCCTGAGGGTGTGCCCTACCTTGGTAACTAGCGCCACTGTGGCCGGCTCCTTGCCCTCTACTGGTGTGTGGAACAGCGCTTCATGTCCATAAGGGTCAAATTTGGCTCCAAGGGGGTCCAGCTTGAGCAAGCCGTGCTTTGTGAACACCTTCTGGATCTGCACCTCGGTCAGCACCAGCACCCCCCCCCAACTCCGTGCAGGCTTTTCAGGTGAGGGTTGTCATCTTTAATTTCTTCTTTTGGAACACTCTGGGTTGCCTTCTCCAGAATGTCTGCAACCTCCAGCAAGTCCTTGCAGAAGCCTTGGATGCTATGTTAATTTTGCCTCTTCCACCAGTTTTTGGCTCCTCTGCCTCAAGTTCACAGTATCTGCCAAAGCTCATTTATATTTTTCCATGGTGCCTCTCAGTTGCTCTTCCAGCCTGACCTTCTCTTCCAAGAGGGTCTTGTGTGTACAGGGAGGCTCTATCTTATGCTCATTGTGAACCATGTCCTCTTCCAGGTTTTGGCCATTGTTCTTTTGTTTTTAGCCGTGCACAATGACCGAGGAAAGGGCCCGAGAGATAATGCCAAAGCCCGGAGACTGCACTGCGCCAGCCTTACCCACAGAGCCACCATGACTGCTGCTGCAGCCTCCATCACCTCAGTAACTTTTAATTTGGGGGGTTGGTTCTGCTTCCTGTCTTCCCACCCCCAGACATGATGTAGGTAATGTGTTTGTGTGGAGATTTCACAGGCCCTGACCTTGCCTTGGGACCAAGGCCACTCTTCCCAGCCTGTGGCCAAACCTCCTGCACCTGGCTGCCAGGGGACTCTCAGTGGCCATAGCCAAAATGGTTGATATAAATGATGAGTTAGAATCAGGGTAAACTGAAAGTGATGTCATAATTGGTGGCAGACTGGAGAAAGATGGACCAGTCCCCGCCAAATACTCTACTTCTCCAGCAGGTAACAAATGGAGGCCTGAAGACGTCTCCTTTTTTGGTTTCTACCTCCTTAGAGATGCTGAAGAAATAAACATCCAATTGGTGTCTTTGCCTCCAAGCCCTTGGTACCCTGGCTGAATGATTATGGTTGTCATGGCAGCAAGCAACATTTCCATTATCATCCATGGCCTCTCCCCTCCCGCGGGAGATGTTTGACATGATTCTAGTCTTTCATGCTGGTTCTGTTCCTTGTCGGCTGGGGAGAGCTGCTTCCTCCTCGTTTCTGATTGGACAGAATTGTTGTTGGTTTGGAAAGATGGATGGTGTAGGGGAAAGAATGGGTGAGGCTGGGCGCATGACAGAAGAGAAGTGGCACAATGTTGGGTGTGCATTGAGGGAGGCTGGGTGTGGGGAGACTCACTGGGAGACAGAGAAGAGGAGGCACCATGGAAGGGAGGGAGGACTCCTCAGGATGCTCCTTGTTCACCGATGCAGACATATACCCACAACTGTCAGAGACCCTCTCAGCATCTCCCCATGCCAGTCTCATTTGAGAAGCTCTGGGCAGTGCCCTACACCCTCCCCAAGACACAAGCTTCTGGTGAGCAAGGACTCACCAGAGATTGCTCTCAATCTCCATCCCCCAGACTCTCCCCACTGCTAAATGAACACTTACATGGATGGACATCCGGACACTTTTCAAGAAATTGCTGTTGAACTAGGCTTTAAGGGGCTGATTGATGGACATCAAAATCATTAGAGACAGATGGTCAAATTCACATGCCAGTTGTGGATTGGCTCTGAGGAACAGTTCTACAGAGCAATGGAAAGAAGTATTGGTTGGTCCGTGGTTCAAAATTCCTGAAGTTCTGGGGTACCTCCTGGGGAGCTGCCCCTAGGATTTGCTGATGGGAGTGGAGGGGAAGCTAGGTGTCCTTGATGGAGCAGAGGTCCAGCTTCCCTGGTGTCTTCAGCTTCTAAGCACTTCAACCCAAGATGCTTCAGACTCCTGGTCTACAGGAGGGAAGCAAGGTTTTGAGCAAGTCATCTTATTTGATCAAGGGCCCCGCTTGGCTCCTCTGCCTCATGCCTGGGTGTGTGTGTGTGTGTGTGTGTGTGTGTGTGTGTGTGTGTGTGTGTGTTGGTGAGATGCACACGTACTATCAACACACAGGAGCTTTCCTGCCACAGTGCAGGGGATAGTGGAGGAACCTGTAGTTTTACACAGCAGAGCAAGTTTTCAGATCCCTTGGAGGGAAGAACCAGATGGCAAAACACAGTGATGGGTGAGGACAGTTGGCTCCCAGATCCACCACATGAGGGGAGTGCCCATGGGCAGGGCAGCTATAGTAAGAGGCCCCTTGGCTGAAGTTGCCCACGGCAAAGTCAAAGAAACGTAGCTCCTCCTGGATGCTTGTTTAGGCTGGGAAAGGGTGAGAGTGAAAAGGAAAGAGGATCCTGGATGATCAGTTGTGCAACTGTCTCTGGGGACAGGTGGGACATGCCTCCAGAGCTCCTGGAAGTGGGTGGCCTGGGCACTCTTTGGAGGAAGGGAGGGCCTGGGCCCCTCAGGCTACACTGAAGGATGATGTCTCAGAGCTGCAGACAGACACCCTGGGCAGCAGTATAGTGGTGCCTATCACCTGTACATAAGTCAGTGGCTGCAAATTATGCTTCTGGGACTCTTAGATTCCTTAACAGGGTGGTCTCAGGGGCCACCAAAGGAGGCAAAGTGACCCAGGGCAGCTCTGTGTTGGGTGATATTATCAAGGGGTCCAGTAGGATCAGAGGGCACATTCAAAGAAGTATAGAGAAGAATTTCAGAGAGGGGCATATCCAGAGGGGTGGGTGTCAGGACAAATGCTGTCAAAGCAAACCTCGGATCAGCAAGCTTTTTTCTATTCAGTATTTAGCTGCAGAGTCAATTGGGGGAACCCAGAGACAGCTCATTTGGGGGTAGAAAATTGCCGTGGGCTGAAGCAAGGATCTATCTAATAGATAGGCTTTATTTAGGGTGGGACAGGAAGGCAATTCCTGGGGTTCTTTGTATTGGGGTCCCACTGATTCATTAGTGTGAGACAGAATGTGAATAGGGAATTCCCTGGGGCTTATTGTATTGGGGTCCAGTGACCCATTAGGGTAGGGGTCAGATGTCAGTCTGGTGCAAGTTCCTTTTTTATTCCTTGTTCTGGTTAAGACCTTGGATTTTAAATGATCAAAGCATAGGCAAAATGCCCTTGGGCTTATTTTCCACATCCTTCAGTCTGCAGGGCTAAGGAAACTGACCCTGGGGATGGTGAGTTGCCCAGAGAGTGGCCACCGTGAGAAGCAGTTATGGTCCAGACGGGGCAAGAAAGGGGAAGCAGTATTGAGGTGGTGAGGCTGGACCCTGGCTTCTCTGTCCCACCCCCACCCCACCCCCACCCCTACCCTGCCACCCCTGGCTGACCTCCCCTTGCAAGTGTGA